GTGAGTCAGTTTCGTTATCAGACTTCCGCTGCATAAATGCTCATCCTATATTGGTTGATCTTTGGTTCTGCCCATACTCATTGAAGTATGTAACATCCCTAGTCTTTTCCAATTTTTTTAACAAATGGCCTTCTGTGTGGTGCCTATACGTCCATGTCGATATCTGATTATGTGGCCTGCAGATGGCGCTCTCTCTTTTGCTGTTCTCGACGTCCAAGTCAGAAGTGGCCGCAGGCGGTGAAGACAAAGTGAATGGCAAGGCGTCGGCGACGATGAGATCGTACTGGTCGTGTTGCTGGAAGGCGAAGTCCACCGGCGTCTGTGTGAAGCGAGCACCAAGTGCACCGAGTGACGTGGAGTTTTCGTCCAGGCAGAGTGCAAAGGGCAATCGCTCGAGCAAAGTGGTGTCAATGGTATCATCGGGCATTCGGCGTTGCTTCTGGCGGTACCATCGGGCATGCGTTGGGAGCGAGGTGGATGCTGGGCCAGGTGGAGCATACATCGCACTGCTCTGTGTGAACCTGACCCTAGCAACACTGTCATGCACTCTGGCTGCAGCTTGTGACTTCTACACACATTGGGGCCTGCTTGCCGGTTCTCTTCCTGGGCCAATCAGTGCCCTCTTCTCATGGGGTGCAGATATTTCAATAAGTAACCCTGGGATGGCAGCTGTGTCAAAAGTTGCAGGGTTGGGAAGCATGGGAGCAGCTGCAGTTGGAGCAGCAGTAGGAACCATGGGCTCCGCTGCAGGAGTGGCTATCGGCAACGCAGCTGCGCAGGTGACAGTTGCAAAAGCGGTTGTTGCATTGTTCTGTGCAGCCTGCCTGTGCATTGTGGTCCCACTTACCCATGGTCTTGGCGGGAGATTGAGGAATCGTCATCTGCCGTGGGCGTTCTGGCAACCGTTCGTTGGAGGCTTGAAATTTGTTGTTATTCAGGTGAGGCAGAGAGGGCTGTGCAAGAGTCACATGGTCTCAGGATATAGAGCCGCCAGAGGCAGCAGGCCCGCGATCTGATCGAAGCAATCATCATAAAACAACTGGTCATCATCCCACCAAAATAATTTCTGATGAATCACAATCACCATGCATCCAAATTTGAAGCGGTGGGTGATGGATTTTGATCTCGGCAGTTTATGGTATGATATGATTACATGAGTCTATCTTTCTTTTTTCTTTTCTTTTCTTGAAGTCCCCTCCCAAAAAAAAGAAGTTGCACCCTTTCCTAGGCTACCAGCCGGGCCGCCCGGGTCCCGGGTGGCCAGCCCGTGCAATGACCAGGGAAGGGTCCCAGCCCCAAAAAAAAAAAAAAAAAAAAAATCCAAAAAATCCGAAAAAAAACTATGTTATGCAGAAAAATAAACTGAACAGTTTTTGCCTCAGGGTCACATTGAAATTCTGCACCAAATTTAGAATAAAAAGTAAAATTTTATTTTTTTTATTTTTTATTTTATTTTTTAATTTTTTTGGTCCAGCCGGGCAAGTGACCCCGCGCCACTCTGGTAGCCTAGACCATTTCTCTATTTATGCGTGTCATCCTTGTGCAGGGGCCATGCTAATCTTCTCTGTATCGTTCCAATTCTAAGCATCTTCTCTGTATCGTTCCAATTCTAACGGATGTCCAGAAGGACGACGATTACATTTGTCTATCCAAGAACACTTATCTCATTGTAACTGGAACATCACATTTCACAAAGCGAGTTTATCAAAAACAGCTCTGTCGTCCGAAGGTGGAAGTGCGGGTCGAAGCTTGAAACTCTGCAGAGAGAACGGAACGTTCATGGCAAATGTTGCAACCTTATCGAGATTGTTTCGGTGGTATCCTTCCTAACATACTGCTATGAACTCATCCGTGGTAAGCCTGGTAATATGACGCCGGGGGTTCAACACTTTCAGGGATCACGATCAAATGGTTCTCAAAATAGAGTCAGCAATTACAAGCTGGTAAATTTGAGCCACGCGAAGCATGACCTTTTCTTATCGTAGAGAAAGCCCTCACCACGGTGCTGGACAGCGTATACGATTAAGCAGATGAGTGAACTTCCGTAGCAGCATGATGAACTCAGGTGTGAGCCAGCTGAATGTCGACTTTGCAGATTTGTTGTCTTGATCGTTGACAATCGATTGGCTTGCATCTCAGCAGCTTATCCTGCAGGTAGTGGGATGCTGCTAGCCCTTCACGGTGACAGTGGATTTATTAGCTCCTCAGTGTTTGGCAGTAACACAGACTGCATGAGTGCGTGCTATTGTCTACCTTCCTCTACAAACTATGAGCTCCCTGGCTGCCCATACTTTCTAATCGAACTTTCAAGTTCACGGATGTGTGCCATTGGGTGACGCAGTTGTGCGCACCAGGTACATGTAAACTTTGCAGATCCGTCATCTGGACGGCTGGCAATCACTCGGCTCGTTTGCTAAGCTTATCCTGTAGGAAGGGTCCTGGACCGCCGTGGTGACTGCGAAGTGGACTTGCTAGTTCCTCAGTGGTTGATAACAACAGGTTGCGCAACTGTGTGCTATTTCCTTGTTCCCCTCCAACCTGTGAGCTCCTTGGTTGCCCATGCCTTCTGAATGCATTCACATGTTCAAGGATGAGTGTCATCTGCTGACTTCAGGAAGTCTGTCTTAAGTAACAAGTAGATCTTATCCTGCAGGTGCTGAAATGGGTATGATTGGTGCCGTGAGACACAGGTTGAGAGCTTTCTCCGTCCCCTCGGGACAAATAAGGGGTGGTACAGGAATATTAGCCTGTTGTCCATCAACTGTGCCTTTCGGCCTAATCTTGGGCTCTGACTCACCCTCCGTGCACGAACCTTGCGGAGGAACCCTTAGGATTTCGGGGCATTGGATTCTCACCAATGCGGTGTGTTACTCAAGCTGACATTCTCACTTCCGGTTCGTCCACACCTGTTTACACTGATGCTTCTCCGTAGAGTGGAACGCTCTCCTAAAAAAAAATTCTGAAAGAAAAAAAAGACAATGTGGCCACCAAATCATGTTCTGAGGAGTTTACATGATCGGTTTTAGAGCGGGCCCGATCGTTGCAGACTTAGGTTTTCGGAGCATTGGATTCTCACCAATGCGGTGTGTTACTCAAGCTGACATTCTCACTTCCGCTTCGTCTACACCTGTTTACATTGATGCTTCTCCGTAGAGTGGAACGCTCTCCTAAAAAAAAATTCTGAAAGAAAAAAAAGAAAATGTGGCCACCAAATCATGTTCTGAGGAGTTTACATGATCGGTTTTAGAGCGGGCCCGATCGTTGCAGACTTCTGAGGGTGCAAATCAAGTTCTCATGACATGTGCTCTCCTACATATTGGCTTTACCCCGGCGTTAACGGCTGATGCACAGGTTTGATCGGTTTTGGTCTTTTGCATTCTTCTTTCGCTGTGTGGCTTTCGTTGGTGACTTCAGGCTGTGGCATGGTCACTCTTTGCAGCTGCTCTGGTTGCATTTGGAGCTGCTGCTTATTGTGCCATGTTTGTGACGGGCACAGCTATTGGGCAAGGTTTGATGGCGTACGCGGGATTTAGCGGGCTGGCGTCAGAGATTCTGCTAGCTGTGTCACTGGTTTGCTTTCAGCCGTCCTCTCAGCAAGAAGCAGCAAAGGTGGCAGCTGCACCGACAGTGCCAGTCCTTCGGAAATGCATCTCCATGCCGGTATTGCGTCAGGCCGAAGACGCAGAGATGAAGACTAGCTTAGCTGCGACGGCAGGGCCAGTCCTTTCAAAATGCATGTCCATGCTCTTGTGGCGGCAGGCCGAACATGCAGAGATGAAGAGAAGTGGAGATCAGAAAGCAGAGACAAAGAAAGAGGAGACTGATGCGTTCTTCGATGTAGGTGTTGCTGCTGCAGACGACTGTGTGGAAGAGGTAGTTTATCCCCAGCATTGGAGCAAAGAAACGTTGTGTGCGGCTTTGCGAGGTCCTTGGAATATGCAGTCGCTCCCTCCCCAAGACTACTTGACGTGGGCGCTTTTGAGGGTCAAATGCTGGGCATCGTTGACGCTGCTCTATTGTCCACATTATCTCTTTCTTGGTGTTGTACTCTTGCCTTTCATGCTTCTGCCATCGGTGTTGTCTGTACCTTTGCTCACGCTGCTGGCTGCTGTGTACCTACCTACATATCTCGGACAACCCCATCGAACAGATCGCCGCACATGGGAGGCATCAAAGGGTTTGTAAGTATCTCAATCCTGTTTCTCTACTGCCAAGTTCTTTGTTACTTGGTTTCCTTCTTCTTCGTCTTCTTGAACACCAACAGAGTTGAACAGACTGTGGAACTTTCTTGCCTGATCCTTCCTGTCTTGATATGCTATGCCATGCCAGAAGAAGAGTCTATAGACTCTAAAGGGAGGAAATGCCGGTGCCATGTGTGAAAGTCGAAAAAATAAATAAATTAGAAGGGATGGGCAGCAGGCGCGCTCCCGGTGGCATAAAAAGCCACAAGACAAAATTTCCCCCACCTCGAGCGTCCGCGGGGGCGGTCGGTTCGGGATTTTTTTGGGGCCCACGAAGTCCTGGTTTGGAAAGGAAAGAAAAGCTGTTCGACACAGTATTCCTCGCGGTGAGTGCGGGGAAGCATAAAATAAAATAAAATGAAATTTGCACTGCCAGGGACCCCTGCATGCCTGGAGGTCAGGGGATCAGGGGTCCCCACGTGGGGGCCGTTACCAATTGACAGGCCGGAGGTCAATATCACTTCGTAGGAGTAGCGAAAGCACAAATTACTACTGGCATACTAATCGTTGAAGGCGCCAATTAGCATGCATAGTTTCCTTGCTAAACGAGGATTAGTGCCGGTTCTGTTCCCTGCACAAGCGTTTCACCGCCATCTGTTCGTAGATGAGAACCCCTACCGTAATACCATTTCCAGGCCTGAAAACTCAGTGGTATCTCGGGTACCGTTTCAGCTACTGAGAGGGGCCAATCGAACCTCCCCCTATTGGGAAGGGCTGGGTCCTTTATTCTTCTGTAGGCTATTATTTACCCCGCCCGTACTGCCCCTGTTTCAATCCCTCCCAAGTCATTCAAAAAGAATGGAAAAATTGGGGGGATAGGGGGGGGGGGAAATGGAACCAATTGTTGAGGCAATTTCAAGGTCTTTTGTTATTCCAATTGGCGAGCGTATCAAAAACCATCAATACCAAGTCCATTCAAACCCATGTGTGTGTGTGTGTGTGTGTGCCCCACCCCTCTTCCCTCCGAGGGACCGCTGGAAAGGACAATAGTCCGAAGGACGGCCGGCCTCACAGCCAGCAGTCCCTCAGACGCCACACACACACCTCCACATACACAGACAAATGCACAGTCACCCAAAAAACACCGTTCGTTCACCCCATACATGATCCTCAGGGCCTCCCTCACTCTGTTGCCAGGTGCACTACCAGGTTGGTACAGGTTGATATGATTGAAGTCCCTCTTCACCATGTTCCAGCATCTCTCCTGCTCAAATCCGTTCTGTACGATGGTGGCAACCAGCTGCTGAATCTCAGAGGCAGCCTCTGCTACAGCATCTGTCTTGCTTAAATCCGTTCAGAGGTGTACTTCCAACCGAAAACGTAGTCCTCGAGCCAGCTTACCGTTTCTCCCCCAATTACTGTTAGTAGTACCTCTGATATAGTCCTCGGAGTGGAGAATGCCTCCATCAGATGACTGGTATACTGCATGTGAAGGCAGGTGATGTTATCGCCAAGTTCTCCAAGTCGCATGCCAAATCCTCAGTCTCCCTACTTCCCCATTCTTCAGCGCCACACGACTCGTTATCCGTCTCCTACCCCTCTCCATTCTGCGCTACCCGACTGCTGAAAGTAAGTTTGTAGTGGGACAAAACACAGTCATCCCGTACAGTTCTCACTTCCTGAGCCCACCCCTCCCTTTCCTCTGTTTCTTCTTCCTCGTTTTCCTCCTCTTTCTCTTCTCTTTCCTTCCTCATCCTCCTCCTCTTCCTTCTCTTCCTCTTCTTCCTCCTCTTCTTGTGTTGCCTCTTCTTTGTTCCCCCTTTGTCATCCTCCTCTTCCTCTTCTTCCTCCAGCTCCTCGAATGCGATCATTGAATCTTGAATCATCTGCTTGAGATCACGCTCATCTTTGGAGTCTGTGATGTTCTTTTTCTCAAGAAACACCTGAAACAACGAACAATGACAATTCTGACTGGAACTCAGAAGTGCCATGCTGTGGCCCTTCCATCTCATCATCTTCAGTATCATTGACGGAAATGTTCACATCAACATCAGCAAGGAACAGGGGTGCACGTCTGAGATTTCTCAAGCTGTTTGATTCAACGCAGTCAACCACCACCTCCACGTTCTCATCATAAACTAATAACTCGTTCACCCTGCAGTAGCTCAACAGTGGTCAGACATTCAGTGGGGCTTGCGTCTGCTCCCTCCTTGCCAGCGGTGACTTTACATGTAGAAAGTCTAGAGACACCATTCAGTGCTGGGGGGCAGGAGGGAGATGGTTGTTCGTGTTTCAAAGACCCCTGTGACTGTGGAGATCTCATAGCAGGACCTGCAGAGTTTGCCGGTCGCTCATCCGAAACCAGCTACAAGGAGGAACAGACCTCTGCTGTTATTGAAGATGCCAGTTCTCCTCCAATGCCCGAAGCAACAGTTGTCTCTTGCTGTTGGTTCAAGACAACACCACCAACTCCTGCCTCACGGAGCTGCACGGCTTTTACAAGTGCTGATTCTGTGTGAGTACTACCAACTCCTGCCTCACCCTCCATCAGGTTGTTTGAAATCGCCACGGAAGAAGGACAGAACTGCACTGTTTCAACATTCCCTCCTTCCGTACGAGTACCAGAAGCAAGAAAAAAAAGTTAAAAAAACAGACTCTATAGCTGAAGCGTCGTAGCACAATCCCTTGACTGGTGACTGCGCATCCACCTGTTCAATAATTCCCTCCCCCAGCTCCCCTTCACTGGTAGACGACACATCTGTCTCTTGCTCTTGGGCGACTGAACACCACCAAATCCTGACTCGCCCTACGTCAGATAGTTTGGAATCACGAGTCAAGGAGAAACAGGGTGTCACAACCTGACCCATAACCACTCTGGTCTCCACCAGAACTCCCAGTGGAAGAGCATCAGAAGCACAGGGTGTCACAACCTGACCCATAACCACTCTGGTCTCCACATGAAGAGGGGGAGGAAACGGATAAGGAGTCGTGTGGTGCTGAAGAATGAGGAAGTAGGGAGATTGATATGGCATGCAATTCGGAGTCCTGCCGCGACTTCCGGGAATTAAAACCCGAGGAAGGTGAAATACCCAAGCTGATGTTCTGTGGTTCTGAGTTGTTGGGGCTGTTGACGTGGCTGGGAAAGAGAAGACAGTTGTCCCTGAAGATTTGCAGACTAGCCGATTGACATCAGAGACGATCACCGAGCAGAAGCTTGGAGCTATGGCAAGGGCTTCTGCAGGTGCCGGCTTCTATGATCTCGCTGTGCAGTCAGAGGTAATGGAGAACATAACAGACCAAGAGACAAGAGGTACGGATGACAACACCAAGATGAGGATGCATAGCGAGGGGCAGACCGCTTTGTCGAGGGATCATATGGACTTGTGGTCCAGTCTGGAGGGGAGGGCTACTTGTCACTTTGGCAGATTAGAGTCTACTGGAGTAGAGGGTGAAGGTTGTGGCTGTTCCTGTCGTCAGAATGGTGAAGAAGTTGTAGAAAAAGAGATTATCTTGTTTCCAGAAGAGGGTTTTTGTTTCCACAGGAAGACAAGGACGAGAAAGCCAAGTTAAGGGTTATTAATAAGGGGGAATCCTCTCTGTCGTGTCAATGTGGCAGATTAGACCCTGCTGTCGAGGAGAGGATGTGTCCTCCCTCCACCCCTGTTGGAGATGGTACAATGAGTGTTTCTGACGAGTTCAGTACTCCTGTTACAGTTGTCTATGGTTGTGATATTGAGAGAGGGGGAGGTGGTGTGTGTGTGTGTGCGTGTGCGCGCGCACGAGAGAGAGAGAGAGAGAGAGAGAGAGAGAGAGAGAGAGAGAGAGAGAGAGAGAGAGAGAGAGAGAGAGAGAGAGAGAGAGNGAGAGAGAGAGAGAGAGAGAGAGAGAGAGAGAGAGAGAGAGAGAGAGAGAGAGAGAGAGAGAGAGAGAGAGAGAGAGAGAGAGAGGTGGCAAAAGGGACTCGATCATGTAAGCAGAGCCAGTCTTGGTTGCACGGTGACAGGCGTGAAGAATGAAAGAGCTGAGAATGATGGCCAAGCTTAAGGGGTGAGGGAAAAGGTGAAGAAGAGACATGGTCAAAGTGAGGGCGTAGATGAAGGCCATGGATGGTAAAGGCCTAGCAAGCTGGAGGTTAAGAACGAGGATGAGAGTGAGAGGTAGGTGGAGGAAGACAAGGGTGAGGCCCAAATCTGAGGGTAATGGCAAGTGTGTTTTCAAGGACCAGGTGATGGAGTGGGGGAGGGAGATCCGAAGGGAGTGAGGGATGGCTGGGTGAAGTGTGGCAAAGACGACAAACACAAGGGCCGGTGAGGGATCGGCTGAGGGTGAAGTTGAATGTGTCATGGGTGACCGGGAGAGGGGCCTCTGTCTGAGGGTAATGGCAGGTGTGTTTTCAAGGACCTGGTCGTCATGTTTCCCCGCTTTGTGTGCCTGTGAGTTGTCTGCCCTCCCGTCTCCCCCATGCCCTCCAGCCTATGTGCTGCCTCACTGCTTGTGTCGCCTCCCGTGCCCCCATGTCAATGTGCCCTGTTGTGGTTTGCGAGCCTAAGGCGTTGGCCCCCCACCCCTTGCCTGACTGGCCTTTGCCTCACTGGCCTTTGCCTCACTGGCCTTTGCCTCACTGGCCTTTGCCTTGTCCTCATCTTCTGTGTTTGTTCGTGATGTATTATTGTGTGTGTTCTGGTCTGTCTGCAAGCAGTGTTTGCACTTTGAAGCATGGATGATGCTCTTATGGTTTGACATAGTCATCTCCTACCTTCCATTGTCGGATGCGTCTGCCCCACATCACGTCCGCGAACGACATTTGAAGTGCAGATGCTGCTCATAGAGTCCGGTTTAGAATTCCCTACCTTCCCCCTACTAGATGCATCTGTTGCACGCCTACAGGTTTTGTCAGCCTTTAGAACAATGTGTGCTCTGCGGCATTGCTACAGACTCCTGCCCCGGTCTCTTACTCGAAGGTGGCCCGACATGGTTTGTCGGAGCTCTGCGGGTACGAGTATTGATGTAATGTACCTTCTCGAAGTTCTTGTGCCTTAGTGTGCACTCCTCTCAAATACCCACCCACACATAGCGAATATGACAACGCACACATACAGACACATACAGAGACATGCTTTTCTTGTGGAGTTGTGTGTAGCAAACATGACAACACAGACAACACAGACACGCGCACACACTCTCAGACTTACTGCCATTCTTGCCAGGGGCTTAGACCAAGAGCATGCTGCTAGGTATGTGCATGAACATGAGTCTGAATGTCACGGGTATGGAGATGACGGCACACTTGCAAAGTCGATGCTCCGAATGTCACAGGCATGTTTCATACTGGTTTTGAATGCGGAAAGTCTCGAGTCTTTCAGAGTGTCTCTTCCTAGGGTGTGTGATTTTGAGATACTGAGGTGGCAATCCTAGGGTGCGTACTAGGGTGTGTGATTTTGCAAAGCTGAGGTAGGAATCATCCCTGTGAAGATGGAAAGTCTAATCAAGACCAGGAAGTCTTGTATATATTGTTTGTAGGTGAAGCATGAACCCACCAGTCAAAGACATAGCTCTCGGCCTGTACATCATGCAACCAAGAGATGCTGTGTCGTTGCGCCTATCTGCCTTGCCATTGTGGTGGCCAATTGTTCCTTGATGGATTTTTGTGGTATGACTAGGGGGCCGGATGTCCCATACCTATCTGACGACAGGTATGTTGCGGGCCGAAGAATTACCAGAGAGGAGAGAACCAACAGTAAAATGTAGTGGAAGTCCGAAATTAACCAGTCTGACACATGGGGAAAACAGGACTCTGACGAGGCACTCGTCACAAGCAGTGAAGTAGCAAGGAGGGAGACATACATGGAAGAAAGACCTCCTGTTGGCCGCGCCTGATCATGGGGAGACACCATGGGTTGTGAGGGGGGATGAAGAGGATAAAGACCAGGAGGAGGATGAGGGTGAAGGGAAGAGAAGCTGAAATAACGATAATCTCTTCTCCACCTAATATCTGCCTCCAATTTTTATCCCAGTACAGTATTGAAGTCTAAACTGGGAGATGTCTCCCCAACGGATGATAGGTGTCCTCTCTCTCTCTCTCTCTCTCTCTCTCTCTCTCTCTCTCTCTCTCTCTCTCTCTCTCTCTCTCTCTCTCTCTCTCTCTCTCTCTCTCTCGTCTGAGGATGAAGAAGGCGGAGATGACAGAGGAGAAGAAGAGGAAGAACAACAGAAAGTTTCTCTATCTCTGGCGCTGTGGATGAAGAGATGGGGGCCCAAGCGAGTCCTCCTGTGCCCCACTTCTCTACTTGGCAGCGCTATCCTGTACCAACACTCCTCTAGCTAACCCCGGTGCTGCTCTTCAGTCCTGGCAACCGAGAATGAACCAAGTCTGTGTTCAACCCACTCATGAGCACCTAGTTACGTACCACTGCGTCAGTAGCTACTCCGACCGGCAGTCCTCCTGAGCCGTCCGATCTAACGTGAGCTGATGGTTCAGGAGAGTGGCCAAATTTCTGGTCCTGTGACCCAGGCCAAGAAAATGTGTGGCGTGGGTCTCTACTGCATGTCCAGGCCCACCTGCTGCAGCTGCATTTACCAGTAGGCCTGCTTAGAACAGACAAGGGCTGGACTAGGCACTACTGGACAAAAGAAGGTCCTCTCCTAATGGGGACAAAGTCTGCAGTGGCCTGCAATGACCAAAATGTGTGAATGAGTCCTACCCACTTGTCTGAACAGGCGCTTTCGCCTGTTCAGACGTCATGCGGAGTCCGAAATGACACTATCTCAGAGCAGACAAAACTGGGACAGACGTCAGAAAAATATGAAAAATCTGAGTGCCCGATAAAACCGAGAACATACGAGAAAGCAACTACGAACAAACAGATCAGACGGAAATAACCCTGCTGCCTGAAAGAACGAACCGCGGGCCAGAAAATGTATCACACAGCCCACCCAGGCACTAAGTCTCAATAAGTTGACATATGACTGTCAACCCCTCCCTGTGTAGCGAGCGAGAGAGCTACCCCCCTGCGCTAGGGCAATGGTAGTCTGTCTGTGCCACCCTGTGTAAGCCTCAAAAGGATGAAGGGACTGGTCAAGCCGCAATACGACAGAGAGAATGAATAATGAATATGTGCGCGGCAGCTGCATCCGGAAATACACGGATATTATTGGGCCCAGCCGCCGGCATGGAACCCTCATGTGAATTGTGGATAGCAGACGGAGACGATGCGACTGGTCACATTGGGCTTGTGTACTGCTGCTGGGTTTGGGAACATGGGATTCTGAGCAAGGGGCGACGATACAGAACCACGAGCCTATTGAGTGCCGTGAGCGTGACTAACTTGCTTTCTACTGTTCAGCGTTGGGCATGTTGTTGGTGCTCGTTCATCTGTAAAGTCGCTGGCAGGGCTGTCGTTTTTCGGTCATTCTGAGAATTGACTCATGTGGCATCTTGTACTCTTGCGCTTCTCTTGTGTATGTGATTGTCTCGGTGCCATAGTTTCTATAACGCTCGCTTTTGATTTGCATTGAGTTTGTTTGGTGTCATCGGCTGCTCCTTCTAGCAGTAGGATGATCTTTTCGCTCAATGATTTACCATAAGATTGGCTGGCATTCACTTTTCGATCGATTGTTCGGCGCTGCTTACGCTTTTTCCTTCATGCTGTTATTTTGGTGGCGCAGTTTCGTAGGTCTGTTGGAGGAGGTTTCCGTTCATCACTTTGGTGGCCTGCGCATTGTCAGAGACTCCACGGATCCTTTCCCGAGCAATGGGAAATACATGTTTGCGTATCATGTATGTACTATGTACTATGTACCCCATCATTTTGACTTTTTTTTTTTTTTTTTTTTTTTTCTTTCTTTGAATCTTTCTTTTTTTTTCTCTCAACTTTTTTTTTTTTACCTTCCACTACCTAAGACTATCTAGAGGGGACCCCTGCAAGCATTGTTTTTTTTGTTTTTTATTTTTTATTATATATATATATATCCTCATCCGGACACTATATGTCCATTTTGTGGCCACGGACGCTATGCTGAATGCATGCTCTTTTGTGGGGGGCGTTCTTCCTTTATTCTGGCCTGCAATAGACATGCTATTTGTCAGGAATGTATGGTTGGCATGCTTAATGCCAGCCGTCGTGGCAGTTGTTGTTTTGAGAATGCTCAGTTAGGTCTTCCATGCGCTCATCCACCCCATCCTTACAATGTGTGTCCTTTCTGTCGTCAAGGACAGCCTCATTCTTGAGCTTTTCCCTGTGTTTAACACCTTCCCCTTCACTCTGCCTCTCTCACAGCGTGCAAGTGGGCTGTTATGGCATACGGGGATGGGGGCAGCTCGCGCTCAACTTCATCAACGTGGCGAGCCTTGCACGTGAGAGGCACAGTGGAGGTGGAGTTCAAAGAAGAATGAGAAATTTAATGGTTTCAATCTGCCCTTGTTTTTTCTTTTTGTTTTTCTTTTTATTTTTATTTTTGCATGTTATCGTTGTGCCCGTTTTTTGCTTTTATTCTTTGTTCCGCAAAGTGCGCTCTTTTAGTTTGTTGTGATGTGACCATATGACGATATATATCCTATAGTGAGACACACATCTAATCATCTAGCATGCCCTTCTGAAACACACCAAACATCTGGATTTTCTTTTTGACTTCACCTTAATGTCATATTGAATTGGTTTTGCGGCTCCTAGTGTGCAAGCTGCCACCTGAAACATCTGCAGCAACGAATGTCGTAGTGGATGTCGTAATGGTATGGTATGAATCATATGATGTGCTGTGCTATCTTATGTTGACGTGTTGTCTGTGTATCATTTTTTTCAATTTCTTTCCCCTCTTCTTTTTTTTGTTCTTGGGGGGGTGGGTGGGGGTGGGGTTGGGGGGGGGGGTGCATTTCTCGATTTATGTGTGTCAGCCTTGTGCAGGGGCCATGTTCCGTAGGACTGTGTATCAGATTTTGCTTCCAAAGGACCAAATTTCTGTGTATACCTTTCTCTTGCGATGGGCACTTTGTGGTTAGATGGAAAATGATTATATGATACCATGACGTGTGTCCTCTTAAGTGCAAAAGACTCTCAAGCAGCGTCAACGAGTTGCTTCAGAGTGCAATTTTTTTTGCTGCTTTTTTTCTTTTGTTGTTGTAAACTTGTAAAACAATGTAAAGTGATTATGATCGTGGCAAGTGCGAACCTCAGGCCCGCTTATTAGATAAATGGTGATGTATATGATGGCCTCGTCGGGAGATCATTTGTTAAAGTTGCCTGTGCTCGAAATGGTTGTGATATCTTCTTCTTCTTCTTCTTTTTTTTCTTTTTTTTTTTCAAACGACACAGCCCCTTCTATTCTGGGGGGGTGCAGTCCAGTTGCTTATCACCGGCAAGCATGTTTCAGCAACATAGCAGGGGGAAAGGAAGGAGGGGAAGAAAAGGAGAGGCTTAGGGTCAGCTTTGCCCTTGCGGCCCTAGTCACCTGCGTAAGGGGCGGACTGCTACAAAGCACGCGCCTCCCCAAACCATGGCTCTTCTTCAGGGGTTCTTCCCCTGCTGGTTGGGAAACTTACTGGCAGC